TGCCAGGCGGCAGCGTGGGAGGAGGGAGGGGAGGACTGTGAGCCGGGTGGCAGTTGGAGGGAGGCAGGGAAGGCACATGGAGGAAGTGGGAGGCAAGAGAGGTTTAAATGTGTTTGTTTCCCTCTTTGCTTTGGGCCAGAGCAAAGGCAAGTGGCACCGGCTGTGGTTCCATATGGAGCTGGCCGTAGGGTGAGGGACCTTGGTAGTGAGGGAGGGGACAGAGGGGGCGGGGGGGGAGATGAGGGGGAAGAGGGCAGGGATAGAAGCACCTGGAGGGACATGGAGGGGGAGAAGAGAGGATGTTTGCTTCCATGGAGACGTGGCTCAGGCCATTCAATTGCACGAGGATTATAGTCCGTTTCAGGCGCTCTGACCTCAGAGCTGGGATCTCCGATGCCAATCAAACATACTCATACTCTCAACCGGGAGCAAGATCCTCGAACCTGAAAGCTGTCTTCCAGGAAGGACAGCACATGTCTCACGGGGGAGGAAGTACGGTACCTGCTTCTCAGAGGCGCTCAGCCGGGAGCCTGCTGCCCTCTCCTGCTTCGGGTCAAAGGGTGCTGTCTGCCTCCCGGTGGGTCTGAAACCATAGCTTGTGTGGGGACCAAGGTCAAATACAGTCGTCTGCATAGCTTTGCATCCTGGGCTCCGGCAAGGTGGCCCCTCTGGGCACCCGCTCTGGTGCCTCCCTGCCCGCATCCTGGGCACGGGACCCCAGGAAGGAACACGCAGAGTAGAGAGGATGGAGCCAGTCTGGTGAGTGGTGTGAGTGTGAGTGGGTGGGCGACGGAGGGATGGGACACCGGGTGGTGGGAGAGCGAGAGAACCTGCCTCCAGGCTGGGCTCCCAGAACCCGTGCCGGAGCACACGGCGAACTTTATAACCCACATTGTTAGTGCGCCCACGTGGGGAGACCTCCTTTGCTGGAGCCAACATGTTCCCCGGGCTCGAGGTGTGGGGAGATACATCAGACGGCCATGACCCCGCAGCGAATTATTACTGAGGTTTATGTATGAACCGCCTACCAAGATTCCCCACAGACATGATTCCAGGCTGTTTGCACGCCTCTGGACACCTCCGATCATCACCACCTGACTTAGCTCTCAGCGCCTGCCCGCTTCATGTCACCGCTGATGACCACACGGAGCAGGACTGGTGTCCTTGGCACAGTCCCTGTCTGACAATAGAGGCAGGGCGACTGCACTATTTGGAGCAAGTCTACATGTGAAAATATCCATTTCCAAGATGCAAACAGAGGTTAAAGGTCAAAGGGCAGTGGTGAGACATCGGTGGCCTTTGGAAGGTTGGAAGGCCACAGCGAATGCGAGTGAGTAGCGGCTCCCTGAGGTCCTGCTGGGCGTCCCAGTCACACCCCTCCGGCCTCCTTTCCTGTCACCTCGCTTCTCTGGGCTTCTGAGAGTTGCCTCTTTCCTCCTCCACAGCTCCCCTCTGGGTTCTTTGCACATATATGTTTTTTTTCTGTGTGTTTTTGTCATGTGTAATTTTACTGTCTATTTCTCCCTCCACATCTGTTTTTCTTTTTTTCTCTGTGTTTTTTCTTCCTTATCAGGCCCCCTCTTCATGCTAACAATGTAACATAAAAATATTTTGAAGTATTACCCTGGATTTATTATACTTGATTTCAATGAAACATTTAAAAGCTTGTTAATATTTTTGTCTCTTGTTTTAAAAATAAAAGGGCACTTTTACTGATTTCAGAGAGGAAAGGAGAGAAAAAGAGAGAGAGAGAGAGAGAGAGTGAGAGAGAAACATCAATGATGAGAGAGAATCATTGATTGGCTGTCTACTGCGTGCCCTATCCTGGAAATTGAGCCTGCAACCCAGGCATGTGCCCTGACCGGGAATCAAATCATGACCTTCTGGTTCATAGGTTGATGCTCAACCACTGAGCCATGTGAACTGAGCTTGTTTGCCTTTTTAAAAATTGACGGAAGTTGATTAATGGCATATAAGAGGAAGGAACGTTTCCCGTTACTTTCTAGAAGATGCAGAAGTCACCCACCCCATTCCCGGCCTTGCCCAGGCACCCACAGCAGTTCGTCCCCATGGTGATGGAGGACGCGGGCTCTCCCCCCAGTTCCAGTTAAACATGGAGATGTTCTAGGAACCAGATGGCTTCTGCTCTGCAGTTGAACAAGCAGAGTGTTTCCTGGCTCGAGAAAGCCATTCTGGGCACCGTGTCTTGGGTGTTTGTGGTTCTGTTTATGTCCCTTTCCTCTGGTGGCCTTGGGTTTTACGTTCCCATCGGATTTAGTGTGTAGCAATTGTGTGTTAATCCTTTGATTGGTCTACTGGCAGGTTTTCCCTACATAACTATGTATTTATTTCCTATGTTGAATAAACGTGGAGCTGTATATATCATTATTCATCAGTTTAACTTTGACGAAATATTTATCAGTACTGACTGCCTGATGAACTCTTATAGCGAGAGCCTAAAAGAGTTAGAGCATGTCGTATGGATTTTATAATGTTCTCTATCTTTGTAAGGATTGGTGATCTGAAATGTTGGGTAGAATTCCAAGGTCTATTCTCAAATTTTGAATTTCCTTGTGTATGGAACACATCGGTGTGATTTTTCTTTTTCTTTTTTGTTTGTTTGTTAATCCTTACCTAAGGATATGTTTTCACTGATTTTTAGAGAGCCTGGAAGGGAGGGTGAGAGACAGAGAGAGAAACATCATTGACCTGAAAGAGATACATCAATTGGTTGCCTCCCACACCCACTCTGACCAGTGTTGGTGATCAAGCCTATAACCGAGATGCATACCTTTGACTTAAATCAAACCTACGACCCTCCAGTCTGCGTGTGGGCCAACACTCTAACCACTGAGTCAAACAGGCCAGGGCTGTGTGATCTTTTTCATAAAGACAAAGCAACTTAGAAGAACAACTGTATCCTTTCATGTACCCAAGAGTTTGGAATTCAATTTTGACAGAATTCCCTTAAGCCAATGGATTTATAGATCAGTCATTACAGTCATTGTAGAGGCAAACCTGAGACCTAAAACCAACCAACTAGGAGCCCAATGAGGGGCTCTCATTTAAATGCATTTGGATCCAACAGAGATATAAAAATTAATGTACTGTTATTGAAGATCCCAGTAGATCCCTTAGAGAGCCTTCCGTGTTTCACAGTGCAGTTAGGTGGGCGAGAGGTAACAATCACTGAGTTTCTAACAGAAGCTTCATTGTGAACCCAGCATCACAACTCCTGTGCTGTACTAGCTTGATCCCCTTACACACTCAAACTCCCTGTGCTGACAGCGACGCCGGGCTCCAAGCTAGCCATCTTTCCCATGTTCAGAGGCTCTGTGGGTCTTTTGTGCTGGTCCTTGGTCTTGGAGATTAGAACTGAGTCTGCTGAAGTGCTGACACTGTGAATTAGTTGGTGCTGTCCGTGGTCCCACTCCATAGTTTAATGACACAGGCTCGTCAGCTTTTTAGTGGTACAGGTAACCTCTACGCATTTCACTCAGGCAGGAGAAGAGCTTTAAGGTCCCTTCCCCTCCAGAGAACCAATCTGGGGGTCTTTAAACCTCGTGGCAAATCCTTTGCACGTGTTTCCGGTAGAGAGAGGGTGGAGCAGAGTGGGAGGGGGTGGTACAGAAGAGAGGGCGGAAGAGAGGCGGTAAATACTGAGGGCAGTTGGTCTTCACCAGGCCCTTCCAGTCACTGTGTAAATGGTGGGATTAGTGTGTGTTCAAGACCCAGGAAACTGGCCAGGGGTTTTGGTGAGGAATGAAAGACATGCAGCGTGAAGAACGTTTTAACAGTGTCTTTTCTAGGTGCGGGGGCGGACCTTTGGGATAAGGCCTCATTGACCAGCTACAAAAGGACACTTGTGTTTTAATAGTTCCATGAGTTGAGGAGTGGCTGAAGAGGAAGCAGGTGCCCAGTTAAATGTGGCAAGATTAACAATGACTTCTGCAGGCCAAATTGAATAAAGTGTTCATGGCCCTAATGATAATGGAGAAGTGTTTGCAAGCTTCCCTTGGAACTTTAGAGATGAAATCTAGCACCAGGGACAGTGTTTATTTCCAAACAAAAAATAGTCTGCATTGTCTGCTTATTTCATAGCCACATGGTCTTTTTTTGTAATTAATCCTCACCCGAAGATATTTTTTTCCATTGATTTTTAGAGAGAGTGGAAGGGAGAGGGAGAGATAGAAAGAGAGAGACAGACATCCATGAGAGAGAGACACATCTATAGTTGCCTTCCACCCAAACCTGACTTGGGCCAGAGAACGAGCCTGCAACCAAGGTACATGCCCTTGACTGGAATCGAACCCGTGACCCTTCAGTCTATAGGCAGACACTCCAACCCTAGAGTCAAACTGCTTAGGGCATCACATGGTCTTTAACAGTTAAACTTCAACATATAGAATTGCATTTCTCATGTTGTGGGAGGATTTATTTTAATTAATTCTTCTTTCTTCTTAAAAATATGTATTGCATTTATTTAGCTCAAGAGCTTAGAGAATTATAGCACTGATCCACACCAAAGCTAAATCATTCCAAGCTGCTTACACCTCAAGCACTCCATTTTTAATAGTTCTGTTTGAAGTTTTGAAGTACTACCTGAGAGGTTATGTGATCATAAATAAACCATCCTTTCCTCTCTTTCCATTCTCCAGCCTACGCAACATCTGCCCATAAAACTTCAGCTGATCTGGTCTAACCCTGCCAAAGGTCAGGTTTAAATAACTCTGGGTCTTGAGCCCCAATGCAGTGATGCAAATAAAATTCATTTTGTTTCATACAGTAACCACTTCAGCGCAGAACCTGACCCCATGCCAGATGAGTTTCTGAATAATGCACCGCGTACTATCGACACAAGGTGATGCGTGTCCAACAGACCTTGGCTATTGCAACAGTGAAAGGCCAAGTCAGATCGCCACAAGGGGATGTGGTTGGTATGAAAGTTTGCGGTTTCCCATGCAAAACCAGAAATCAAGAACAAATTCCAAGTTACTCACTCATGGATTCTGTCAGCTTGGCCATGGCTGCAGGTGCTTCTTTGTGCTTTTCCTGGAGGGGAGAAGAAAAGATAAGCATGTGGGAAACACATCTCAGCTACGCATGAACACAATGGGTCTGTTACAGCTCTGTCTCTCTCCCTTCTTGTCCTATACCGTCTGCTTATTTCATAGCCACATGGTTAAAATGTGCTCACAGGAAAGGAGGAAGATGGCGGCCAGGTAAACACTTGTACGGGCTGCCTCCCACAACCATATCAGTGCTATAACGGGGGATCTTACCTGAGACCTGAAAGGACCACAATTGTGGGGCCCCGACTGGTGCGGACACGCGGATTCCACAGAAAGGTTGGATTTTGCCGGGGATAACGCGGGGTGTCTGTGCCCCAACAGCGAAAGTGAAAGCTGCAGCTGCGGCAGCCTCGCACCCGCTGGGGCAGCAAAGGCAAAAGTGCGCACTGGGACCCCGGAAATCTGCATCCACAGAAGCCCCCCACTGTTGGGTCTGGCGTGATTCGAGAGAGTGGACGGGGGTCCCCAAGGTTGCTACTAGTGGGGTTCTCTAGGGAGCAAACCATTCTGATTCGACACGGAGGGAGAACATAGGAGTTGGAAAGCAGTCTGTTTGTAAGTGTGCAGACTTGCCCATCGCACACCTAGGCTGGTACCCCTGCAACACTTTGCTTCTGATTACAAAGGAGAGATCACCCAGATTGGCTGACCCTAAGAGACAGCAGGGAAAACTGCTTTTCTGGAAACTGAGAAGCAAAGCAGGGAGAAATCATCCAGGATTCAGCTCCGAGGCAAAAAACAAAACAAAAACAAATAAACAAACAAAACCGGTATTGAGTGTCACAAAAAAAGAAGGCTAGAGCAGCCAAAAAGACGGGACATCAATCCATATACACTGCCACCTAGGGTCTGGAGTACAAACTGACTGTGTTTATTATTAGTTTTATTTGATCAAAAACCAAGAAACTAAGGAATCGCCACTGAGGTGGAGCAGAACGCCGGGAACTGCAATATGGTATGGACTGAGAAATGGGCATGTCAAATAGAATAACAGAAGTGAATGGCCCTCACAACTGCACACTTTTTTTGCTAAATTTATTTTTTATTTATTTTTAATTTTTATTTATTTTTAATTTTTTGCATCTTTTACTCAAGAAACATTTTTTTCCTTTTTTCTTCATTAGATTTTAACTTTTTAATTATTACATTTTTAGGTTCAATAAGCATTTTTACTACTGCTATTTTAATTTTTTAAGTGCCATTTTATTTTCTCTTTATTTTACATTGGAATTAGTGTTCTTCATTTTATTTTCATTTCTCCTTTAACATTGTTTAACCCTATCTCAACACGACCTTTACACCATCACTCTCTTTCTTACCTTCCCCCTTTTTGCTATCCTGTTAACCTTTTCCTGCTTTAGATTTCCTTACTCTTTCTGTATCCCCCCTGCTAAAATTTCTACCCTACTTATACATCTAATTTCCAATCCCCTGTGCCAAGTGCATACACACCCCTCTCTGAGCTGTATTAACTAGCAAAAAAAAAAAAAAAATTGTTTTCCTCACTGTTCTTTTGATGCTGTTTGGGGGAATGATGATTATATTGTATTTTATGCTTTTTAGTGAGAGTATTTTGCTTATTCTTTTGTTGCTGTTGCTTGGTATTTTCTTATTTGATTGATTTTTGTTTGTTGTTATTTTATTACTTCTGTTTTCTCTTCCTGTGCTAGAAATTAGGGGGTGTTGTAGATTGTATTATTCTCCAGGTACTGCTGACAGCATTTGTTGGGGTTAGTGGTTGTTCAGTTGAAATTCTCTCCCCGTATATATAGTTTATTCCCCTTTTATCTCTTTATCTCTTTCTCTCTTTCTCTCTTTCTCTTTTTCTTCTCCTTGTTTCCCAATTTCATTTTGACATTCTTTTTCCTATCTTTTTCTTTTGCTCCCTCCCTTTTCTCTTTTTATTCTTCCTCTTTCTCTCCTATTCCCTAATTTGCCTTTACTTAGTGGTTACCTTTATTGGAGGTTATTAATATTGCAAATACATTTCTGTTCAGTGCCTTTTGTGTTGTACCTGGTTTTGTTGTATTTTGTGCCTTTAACTCAACTCAGGAGAGAGAAATCAATGCAGGAGAAAGATATCTTGAAAAGAGAGACCACGGGGAGACAAAGAAACAGCCCACAAATGAAAGAAAAGCAGGCATCACCAGAAAAGGAAGTAAACGAGTTACAGGCAAGCAACCTACCAGAGCAATAATTCAGAGTAACGATCATAAGATGGCTAAAAAGAATGGAAAACAAATTTGACAATATGAGTAAGACCCAAGAGGAAATGAAGAAAAACCAAGAGGAAATGAAGATGACTCAAGAAGAAATGAAAAATGACATCGCTACCATGAAGAACTCAATAGAAAGCATAAAGAGCAGACTAGAAGAAGCAGAAGACCACATCAGTGAGCTAGAAGACAAGATGGAAAAAAATACCCAATTAGAGCAGCTTCTAGAAAAAAAAAATTAAAAAGCAGGAGGGGGCTTTGGGACAATGCAAAACAAAACAATATCCGAATAATAGGGGTTCCGGAAGGAAAGGAAACAGGTAGACATGGAAAACGTATTTCAAGAAATAATGACAGAAAACTTTCCTGAGATAAAGAAAAACCCCACACAAATCCAAGATGCTCACAGAGTCCCAAGCAAAATGAATCCCAGAAGACTGACGCCAAGGCACATTATAATTAAATTGGCAAACACCAACGACAAAGTAAGAATCTTTAAAGCAGCCAGAGAGAGACAGAAAATTACATATAAAGGAACCCCCATCAGACTAGCAACTGATTTCTCAACAGAAACTTATCAGGCCAGAAGGGAATGGGATGAAATATACAAAGTCATGCAAAGGAAGGGTCTGAATTCAAGAATACTGTACCCAGCAAGGATATCAATCAAAATTGAAGGGGAAATCAGGAGCTTCATAGACAAAAAAAAAAAAAAAATACTAAAGAAATTTATCTCCACCAAACCAGCAATGCAAGAAATACTAAAGGGTCTACTGTAAAAATAAAGAAATAGGAAGCGAAGAAGGAACACAGGGGTATAAAATAAAAATGGCGTCAAATGAGTACCTATCATTAATAACTTTAAATATAAATGGTTTAAATGCTCCAATCAAAAGACATAGAGTAACAGATTGGATAAGAAAACAAGACCCATACATCTGTTGTTTACAAGAAACCCACCTCAGAAAAAAAGATGCACCCAGACTGAGGGTGAAGGGATGGAAAAAGGTTTTCCAGATGAATGAAAATGAAAAAAAGGCTGGGTAGCAATACTTATATCTGACAAATTAGATCTCAGAGTGAAGGACATAACAAGAGATAATGAAGGCTTCATAATACTAAAGGGAGCAATCCAACAAGAAGAAATAACTCTGGTAAATATATATGCACCCAACACAGGAGCATCCAAATACACACACACACACAAAAAAAAAAAACAACTGCTGGAAGACATTAAGGGAGAGATTAATAGCAATACAATCATAGTAGGAGATTTTAATACCCCACTGTCATCCTTTGACAAATCATCTAAACAAAAAATCAGCAAAGAAATATCAATCCTAAATGACTCACTAGACCAGATGGAATTAATCGACATCTTCAGAACATTCCACCCTAAAGCCACAGAATATACATTCTTCTCAAGTGCACATGGGACATTCTCAAAGATAGACCACATTTTGGGACATAGGCAAAGTCTCTTCAAATTCAAGAAGATAGAAATCATATCAAGCATCTTCTCAGATCATAGTGGCATAAAACTGGAAATTAACTACAATAAAAATAATCCAAAGAAATCAAACACATGGAGACTAAACAGCATGCTATTAAACAAGGACTGGGTTACCAGAGAAATCAAGGAAGAAATTAAAAACATCCTGGAAACAAAGGACAATGAAAACACAACAATCCAAAATCTATGGAACACACAGCAAAGCAGTTTTGAGAGGGAAGTTCATATCCCTACAAGCCTATTGCAAAAAGCTAGAAAAAATGGTAACAAATGATCTAACTCTACAACTCAAAGAGTTAGAAAAAGAGCAACAAGAAAAGCCCAGTGTAAGCAGAAGGAAGGAAATAACAAAAATTAAAGCAGAGATAAACAACATAGAGATCAAAGTAACAATACATAAGATCAACAAAACCAAGAGCTGGTTCTTTAAAGGATAAACAAGATAGATGAACCTCTAGCCAGGCTAACCAAATGTTATCACTGATAAAGAAACAAAGAGAGAGGACCCAAATAAACAAAATCAGAAATGAAAGAGGTGAAATAACAAGAGACCCCGCTGAAATACAAAGGATTGTTACAAAATATTACGAACAACTCTATTCCAACAAACTGAACAACCTGGAGGAAATGGACATATTCCTAGAGAAATACAACCTTCCAAAACTCAATCAGGAAGAATCTATAAATCTCAATAGAACAGTAACTTGGGAAGAAATTGAAACAGTTATCAAAAAGCTTCCAGCAAACAAAAGCCCAGGGCCAGATGGCATAATAGGAGAGTTTTACCAAACATTCAAGGAAGAACTAAAACCTATCCTCCTCAGACTATTCCAAAAAATTCAAGAGCAAGGACCACTTCCGAACTCCTTCTATGAAGCCAGCATCACCCTAATACCAAAACCAGATAAAGACAACTCAATGAAAGAGAATTATAGGCCAATATCCCTTATGAACATAGATGCCAACAAAATTCTAGCAAATCGGCTCCAGCAGAGCATCACAAAGATCATACACCATGACCAAGTAGGATTTATTCCAGGAATGCAAGGATGGTACAATATCCGCAAATCAATAAATGTGATACATCACATAAACAAATTGAACGATAAAAATCATATAGTCATATCAATTGATGCAGAAAAAGCATTTGATAAAATCCAACAACCTTTCCTGATAAAAACTCTCAACAAGGTAAAAGTACAAGGATCATACCTCAACATAATA